TATGCCATCGAGTTATAACCGCTTCAACAGGCTGCAATCCTTACTTTGAGTCAAAAAACCGCAATAGAAACTATTGTTGTTAAGTTTGAAACTCACCCCTTTTGGACAAGCAGATCCAAAAATGTTTGCCAGTACATTCATAGCTTTCCGAACAATCACCTTAATAAGGTAAACCTATGCATGAATTGCAATAACATAAGTAGAAACTGCAAACCTCATTAGGTGCTTCCAAATTAGCTGCTTCGCCAGCCATCATCGCTATCAATACTGGAGCTTTGCTCAATGCCGTAAACATAAACATTTCTCCTCGGGAAGCCCTAAACACAAACACGTTCTATCTTTTCAAAATGAGTTAATCGCAAAGACAACTCATCTGGAATGATTGAGATGGCCGAAATAGTTCTGTGTGACATCCCAGAATGGACGAGAGAAAATCAGCACAACCTAAATTTCAGACAATAACACCACAAGATAGTTGAACAAATAGTCAACATCAATGAAATTACCTTGTTGAAGTTGCCAAAACCCATTTCATTAATGGCATTCACGGTGTTCTCAGGTAAAGATGGCTCGAATTTGGGTGCATCAGAGGAATCGCTCACTGAGCGTTTTAAAACTCCCAGTGGTATAGTACAGAGGCAGACATCACCTTCTATTGTGCTAGTTGTATCATCTGTCTTATACTGCACTTCAACACCTGGAATCCATCAATAAATTTGATTGCCGTAATCTTTGAGATGCGACTACTAAATATGTCCAACAACCTCTGGGAACCTATCAAGCTTCAATAAATAGGACAGTAATTCACCTTTTTCATTATATTTTATAGTCTCCACAACAGCATTTTGCTTAATCATACTCGCGACATCACTTGTTACCAGCCGTGTCAAAAAGTCACCATAACCATCACGAACTGAAAATATTTTCAAAAAATTACTTCTCCTTTTGTCAAAAAGTTTTCATAAGAGTAGTCAGTCCAATGAGAAAGATATGAGAAAGTATTACGGAGGCTTTGGAAAAAAGTGAATGCAACTCACTAGCCATGTGTGAGCCAGTAAATTGGAACTCATCGTCTTGATCGAAATGTTGTAGAGACAGCTTGTCTAGTGTGCCTCCGCTAACATACTCCAAATTGGCAAAATGGAAGTCTAAGAGACGACGATCCCTTTGATTCATGTAGACTTCACTAAATAGGGTAGATTAAGACTTAAAGGTATTAAATCTTATCGGGAAAAACAACCTTGGTTCCTGTTTTTTGAGATTACGAAGTGTAGTCTCTAAATTACGGAAACGCTCCCTAGCAGCATCATAACGCTGAAAGAATGAATTACAAATCTAGAGATGCTTGAAGAAAATTTCACTGAATAATATCAATAAGAGTCACCTTGATGGCCTCCCCAAGGTCGCGCTTATAACA